AGGCGGGCCTGCCTCCCGCCTTGTGGAGGGGAGAGGGGTCCAGTGGTGAGCGCAGGGGCGCTGGGTGCCAGGATGCCTGGGGTCTAGCCCTGGGATCAAGGGGGGGGCAGCGTCCCTCATGTGCTGACCGGTGATTCCCCCTCTGCTGCCTTTGGGGCTGGGCTAGGAAAGTGGGGAGGACAAAGGCCCCTTGTTCTGCAGCCTCCGAACTGGCGTAGGTCAAAAGGGAAGGCGACCCGGTGATCTCCGTGCCTGGGAGAGGTCCAGCCCAGAGGGAGCCCAGGGCCGGGGAATGCGGTCTGGCGTCTCCTGGGGAGAGGTTCCCAGAGGCGGAGGGCGACGGGGGGGGGGTTTAAATCCGGCTGGTGCCGTGCAATGGGAGCCGTGCAATTGCGGGTGCCGTGCAATGGGAGCTGGTGTCCGTGGGACCCCTGGGCTGTGCCCCCATCGCCCCACTGCCTGCAGGGGCCTCAGCAAACTCCCCCCTCCTCCCCAAAACTGGGGGGCATGTGCCCTCAGCCAGCAGCTGTGAGTCCTGGCTCCGTGCCAAGACACCCCCAATCCTGCCCCCCTCCCGCACCAGGGGGGCAGTGTGATGCTCAAGAGGGGATTAATCACGGTGGATCCCAATTGCCGTGGTAACTGGGGGGCCCCACTGCCTGCAGGGGCCTCAGCAAACTCCCCCCTCCTCCCCAAAACTGGGGGGCATGTGCCCTCAGCCAGCAGCTGTGAGTCCTGGCTCCGTGCCAAGACACCCCCAATCCTGCCCCCCTCCCGCACCAGGGGGGCAGTGTGATGCTCAAGAGGGGATTAATCACGGTGGATCCCAATTGCCGTGGTAACTGGGGGGGGCGGGGAGGAGCCCACTGTAGATCCCGGTCACCAGGGCAACTTCTTTGCTGCAGATCTCGTCGCCATGGCAACTGCTGCTGCAGATCCGTATCGCCATGGCAACGCCACAGGCTCCAGGTGGTAGCCACGCTGCAGCCAGGGGGGCAGGCCCTGTTGTCTTCAACCCAACTGGGGGGGGGAGG